TTTATATAGCAATTATTTTTAGATACAATTTTAAACCTGTTTAATTTTTTGCTATTGCTTATTGCAACATATAATGCTGTTTATGGAATGAAGCTAAATATAATCACAATACCTACCTAATAAATACAAAAAAATCGCCACTATATTTAAACACAAACTTAAAAATATTTGAGTTTAAAAAAAAACGTCAGGGAGTTGTATCAGTGACATTTTGGCTCACGCTGTGAATATTAATGTTAATTCTGACTCTATCTATTATCAGACTCGGGAGTGTTTTGTTTAATACAGGGAGCTGTGCTGAATAATTTCTCCATTACACGAACCTGCCTTTTCTACATATTTCTACAACTTTGCATTTCTTATCAATATTCTCCACATTTCTTTCTAAGGATACAGTCCCACCATTAAGTTTGCCCTCTGGTGACTTCCTCCAAATGTGCGTTATTTATATATCAGCTCTGACAGTGAGTGTCAGCAAGATGGCTGCTTCTGCCCTCACCTCCCATGCACACATACATCTCTGGCTGATGTCACACAAATTAAGAGTAGTTAAATCAGCATAAAATGGGGATCAAACTTGAGAACTTCCTTGTCTGTCTAGTTTAGCCACTCCCAAGATCAAGTCACTGCATCGTAGGCCATGATGCTTCATTAATACTCTGGTAAACATCATTATTGTAAAGAGCCATCATACTTTCCTACTTTCTCTCTTTTGCTCGCTCTCTACCTTCTCTCTTTCACACTCACTCTCTCTCTCTCTCTCTCTCTCATACTCTGTTCTCAGCTGGTAAACACCACAGTGTTTGGGTCCTCCGACCAAACCTACAGGCGTAACTTTAACGTCGAGTATCAAAATCAAGGCTGGAAAAATATGGGAACAAATCTCCTTCTAATATACACCTAACCTGAGAAATACATGAACATTAGATGATGTAGAAATGTGGGGACGTCATAGTGACAATCACCAATTATCACTTCTCCATTTGCAAATGTAGTTGATTGACATGGAACTGACATGGATTTTCTTACATTGAGTTTCTGAATTTGTTAGTGGCCAGACTTCTTATCCCCCTGGCTCTGCTAGACTTCTCCAGCCAACTTCTCACGGTCCCTGACTCCGAGCGCAAAGACATTCTAGCTTTGAAACTCAGAAATAGTCCGAAACTTTGAAGAACTCAGAACTGCAGAATGTCTTTTTATAACCCTACTGATAAATATGCACAAAAATAGTAAAGACTCGGATGTACTTTAAACACTGACGCACGGCTGCTGCCATTAGTCAAGCCCTGGGAATAACCATTTTAACTCTTTCACTGGCGCAAACCTTTATTTGCAATTTTAATAAATTGCACTATAGGCAAGACTAACCTGCATTTTGTTTTCTTGTATGGCTGCCTTGTAAATCGGCTCGTAGCAGCTATACTGATCGCAACAGGGTTGTGAAAGGGTTGAGCCGAATTAGCAGCTCAAAAAGTCAAGAGATGCGGTCACTTTTGGAGGTACGTAGGTTAAAGCCATGTACACTGTTGGAGCCTGTGAGTGGAATGCTCTTGTGCAGCTGGAACAGTGAACCTTTCCACATGTAAGTGAAACGTGCCAAAAGTCAGCTTGTCACATTACATGCAGCGATACATATATGGTCCTCATTTGATGCACAAGGACGAATCTAGTTTAACTGGTGTATAACTGTATGTGAATAGGGTGCCAGCCATTGGTGCTAGTATTTGCTGCATTCTATCTTCATTCGGGGCCCTTATTTGAAGATTATACAAAAGAGCGGAGCGGTAATCGTAAAGCTACTTTAATTATCTTACTACCCAGGTTCTATCTCTTTTATTCAAAAACATTTTTAGGATCTTGAACAGGCTCTTAATTTTTAAAACAAAACATATTTTGGGGATGCGAAGGCTTAGTCTTGCAAGCCAATGTGATGTTGAAATACAGCTCAGTGGAAATAAAGAATCAAGTTTTATGCTTCTGAGTAATGCAGCTGGTATGAACGTTTGGACCTGCGACAAAATACACAAGTCTCGCAACGATAAGCAGTCGAAGCCACAATTTAGTGAGGGGGAATCAAAATGACTCAGAAACATCGACGTGAAAGGCGCTGTATAAATGCAATGTTGTTGTTGTTTTAAGCCCCAGTGCTCTGAATCTCTGCAACTTTAAAATTCCAAGACTACACAAAAGAAAGGTTAATGCTCCCATGTGGCAACAGCACTAACATCAAGTAACAACAACAAGTTACATTTACACAACGCCTTTCATGTCAGGAAGACGTCCGAAGGCGCTGGACAGTCAGGGATCTCACCCGAGCTGGTGATTGGGATCAGGAGGGGTAGAGGGCAGGGAGGGTAGGAGTAGGAGGGTGACCAAAAAGGATGCTCTTTGACCTTCAAACCCTTCCCCACTGCCGGCTGTGTGCAGCACTTTGAGACGTCCTCCTGACACAAAAGGCGTTCTATAAGTGTAAATTGTTGTTGTTTAAAAATATATACTTAATAGTCACGCCCTCCGCCCCCTCCCCCGAACCCAACCCCCAGCTCGGAATCCGAAACACTGACTGTCCAGCGCCTTGGGACACCCTCCTGACGTGGAAGGCGTTCTACAAATGTCACTTTGTTGTTGGATAACAAATGATCTGAGAGTAATAAAAAAAATATTACTTGCGGGAGGATTAACTGGGCATAAATGGGCTACTGGGTTTCCTCTGTGTTCCTTGACTTCAATAGCCGAGTCTCCTCCCTTGAAAGACAAGCGTTTTGGCTCCCTCCATCATTGTTCCCACATCTTTACCTCTGCTAATAGGCTCACCGGTGCATCCTCATCACTGTCTACATCAGCTGCCCGCGATCTCTCTGAGTTGGTATTTACCTTCGGTGCTGGTGATGTGAAGGGCACATCATCGTACTGTGAAGGAACATGAATGTTTCGGGACTGCTTATTTGCAACAGAATTAAAGCAATACAACTTTCCAGAGTGTGCATAAGTACCGACGTCCAATTTTAAAGCATCAACGATCAGATCATTGAGTTTCTTTCTAGCGTACTAGTGGTGTGAGTCAATTGGCTCTTTCGGGTTCCTGTTAAGTGTAGAAATCCAATCATTTCTGATCTCATTACCCGTTGGTTAGGCAGAAGGTTTTATTGCCTTTTGCCCACTCCAACACAGTGGAGTTTTGGGCACTACCTCTGCGAGTTGATACCACAGATTCTTAACCTCACAGTGAAGCCAGTAGAGAGCTCAGTGAAACCGCTTCTCTAATTTGCAACCATCAGTGGGATTGCCGCGCATTACTGTCGACACTGTCAGGATCAGTATGTCCTGAAAATAATTGTCACCACCATGGTCAACCGAGAGACCTCGAGGTGTACTTATGTGCTGACAGATGTCATGCAAAATAAAAATGGAACATAAGTTGCTGCTTCAGTCATCACCATTCATTTACGGTCGTGTAGGTGATCAAATACTGGCGGATGCAGTAATGACGAAAGCAAAATCACCACTTGATTAGCAATACTTTCACAAGGAGGAAGTCTTGAACATTGACATTCAATACGAGCTAATTTATGTCTGGCTTTTGCTTTCAGCCAAATATATACTGGGTGGCCAACATCACGGAAAAATCTGTTTTACACCATTGAATTATTTGAGGGATTGAGTGCAACAATTAGTATCTTGCTTTCATTTATAATTTTCCAGAGAATCATCCAAATCCTTTTTCTGCTTAATCATAATAATAATAATTCTCTTATTTGATACAGCGCCTTATCACGTCTTCGAGACGTCTCAAAGCGCTTCACAGAATATACTGTAAAGTGAATTGACTGTATATTTTGTGGGCAAAATGTCCACATATTCTCCCATCTATTGAGTTTTTCAAATCTTTTCATTCACATAGAAAGTGATCCTGTCTTTTTTTAGGGCAGTGGGTTTAGATGTCAGTAGAGGCTCGGCTGTGGACTCGAGCCAACTGAATGGAAACTTACTCCTCTCATTAGCTCAACAGCCAGGTCTGCCTCGGCTGCTTCGATGGGCTACTAGGTTTCCTATTTAAAAACTAAAAATGATAAGACGCCATGAAAGAAAATACTGGTCTGTGTGTAATAGTAACTTTATCCAGAAGGTTTAAACAGTAAGTAAATCTTTAGATGAATTGGTATGTGCCCTTCAGAATAAATTGAAGTTATATTAAGCTCACTGATGCCCCAGTGGTTAAAACCACTGCCTAGTGTAGCGCAAATCCATAAAGATCAGAATTTCAGGTTTAATTTCAGATCTGCACTGACTTTGCTGATCTCAGCTAGGGCAGCAGTTGAATCAACGCTCATTTCTTTGTGGGTTTGGCCAGGGAGAGGAACGATCTATCAGGGATGTCCTTTCTCTTCAGTGACCCCTGCTGGAAAGTGTGTGGGTGTGTGTGGGCATTTGGTGTTGACCACAGTCAACCTGGGATGGAATTAAGTACCTCCTGTTGCATTTATTTAAGTCGATGAATTGGCAGAGACCTTGCAGCAGATTGTGCGCTCGCCTTTTTGGCAGGGAAATGGCGTAAGCTATCGGGGACCATAAATAAACTTAATTTAAAAGGTGGCAGAAAACTGTATGAAAAATTGAGATTTTCCTCACAGCAGCGAGGTGCAGCAGCAATCCATGTAAGAGTTCAGAGGTTTAAACATTGACAAAACAGCAGTGTCTGTCTTTTATGTCAGGAGGACATCTCAAAGCACTTCACAGCAGTGACTGGTAGCCTGAACTGGAGGGCTCCGGCACTGTCAAGCGCTCTGAGACGCTACCCTGCATGAGGGGTGCTATATCAATGCAAGTTGTTGTTGTTGTTGGCTGGGGAGGGGAAGGGAAAGATGCCTGAAAGCACGAAGAGTCGAAGAGTGAGGTCTTAACACATCTCCAGAAACTTTCCAATGGCTGTTTTGTTTTAAACACTGTGAGAAATTTGTCATACCAACAAGTTTCTAAGCATTTCTGACATTCTCCTTCAGGTGTTCCCATGCAAAAACCAAGGCTGAAACAGCAGACCAGGCCGCACAAGCTGCAAGCAATGAGTCCAGTATTGCGAGAGCGATTGCCAGGGAATTGTCACCGACCTTTTACCAACCAGGTATTTTTATTAGTCTGCGGTGAGCTATTGTATCAGTAACATAACTAAAATAATAATATTCCTTGGATTTGATTATAGGGCGAAAAGTTGGCCATGTTTCCTTACTCCACATGCCTATGTTTATCTAGCAGTAAATAGGAATTCGGTTGTTAGTCGATTGATGAATCGCTTTTCCAGGGGTAATAATCCTCCCTCCAAAAAAAAAATTATTTGGTCATTCAATCCACGACTGTTTGTGGGGACGCTGCTGTGCGCAATTTGTCTGCCGCGGTTCGCCCACAGAACATACAGTCAATTCACTTTACAGCATATTCTGTGAAGTGCTTTGACACGTCTAGAAGACGTGATAAGGCGCTAGATCAAATGGAATGAATTATTATATAGAGGCTTATCACGTCTTCCAGACGTCTCAAAGCGCCTCACAGAATTACTGTAAAGTGAATCGACCGTATTTTGGTGGGCAAAACGTGGCAGCAAAGTGCGCGTAGCAGTGTCCCACAAACAGTCGTGGATTGAGTGATCAAATGATCATTTTTTAAAAACAATTTTGAAGGGATTATTATCCCGGGTAAAGTGACTAACAACCGAGTTCATATTTACAGCTAGGTAAATTGAGGCGTGTGGACTAAGGAAACTTGCCTAAGGTTTTGCCCATTAAACGGAAAGTAAACGCAGGTTAAAACATTAAAAACAAAGAGCAGTCACTTAACTCAACTATCTACTCTACACGTAGACTGTTTATGAAACGGATGCTGTTAAGAAGCTGTTTCCTTGGAATAACATGCACTGTAACAGAAAAAAGCCACTCAGATCTGTTTCAAATTCTGTTTGAAAATGAAAAAAGCAGATTTGCTTCTCAGTGGCCTGGATTTTACTGTGAAGTGCAGTGACTGTGTATTGGCAAACATGGCAATTTGCACATGAAGTAACTGACCAGCTTTATCTGGGGGATTGTTATGACGTCAATACTTTCACTGGAAATTATATGGTCCCTTTAAACAAAACCATACAGATAGTTACTGGGTTACACTTAACTAGGTAGTTAGTGGCACATAGTATCATATGACCAAATCTATGCCACTAGGGCAGATGCAGGACTTTTTATCGTGACTTTATTTTTCACGTTAATTAATCTTGAGATTTTAATTCTGAGTATTCTACAGTAACGGAGTTTTGTTGTGTTGCATTGATTTTTGGTTCTGAATCACTGTGATAGCCCACCACGGGTGAACATGAAGCACAATGAAAGATCAGATTATTTCACATCAACTATCAATCAGATGGGTAAATGAAGTCTGAATTCTTTGATGCATTCAATATCTATTAAAATTCCGAGTACAGTAATTAAAAGAGACAGAAAGTTGCAATCTTCAGCCAGCTTGCTACACTTTGAGCGCTCCGGACAGCTGGTGTAATAATAGTAGCTTTATAATCTAGAGTGGCCAATTTTAGCAGCGGCCAAATGGTTTGTTCATGACTGGCATGTATGTGAATCCCAAGCACACAGTCATCTGAAATAGAGACGACATCTCATTCAACAGTATCAGTATTGGAGCTTCACTTGGTTTCACAAAGAGTCTTGACTGGAAAACTGGGGTTTGATTAATCAATCTGTGTTCAGTCAATTTCAAGCAGCAAAAAAAAAAACACCGCACTGCAGATATCAGAGGCTCGCGAAAGGAAATCTTTCACACCAACATCTTTCTAGGCGACGATCGTAACTTGTACGGTTTACAAATTGTCGGTCTAATACTTTTTTAAAAAAAAAAAAAAAATTTTTAGCCGCATTTTTTAAATTGTATTTATCCTTCCACCTGTTTGATGGTGCGAGCGCAAATGACCTGCTCCCAAACATCTGCCACTGCCACTCTTGAGCTGACTTCAGGGAGAAACACGAAAGAATGGCTCAGCTGTCAGACTTGCCTACTTCTCCGTGAAGAGGTGCCCACAGGATGAAATTCTGTTAGTTGGCAAAGTTAGCAGCCTTGGTTTAAAATGGGATTTCACCATGGAAAGCTCATGTCAATAAAGGTCATTAACATAGCTTGTGCCAATAAAAGTCAGTGAACTTCTTCTGCTCAGTATCTTTCCAATGCATGGCTGAGATGGTGAACACAGTGTGTTGGAGGGAATCTATGGCATCACTCAACATTGGCATCGCTCAACAACTTTTCATCAGAACTCAAACAGTTCTCGAGGAAGGGTACCTGAAGCGCTATTTTACCATTCGTTTCTCCTTCGAATGCTGACAGGCTACCCATGTCCAGCGTATTCTGTATTGATTTTAAATCAACTACATTTAGCTGTTGTATCTGCCACAGCAGTGATAGCATTTGACATCAGATTTCCAGTCGTTGAGCAACTGGGGGGAAAAGTGTGATCACCTGCACAGTGAAATGTGTTTATTTTACTCCAAAAATGTAAATCTCATGTAGAATTTACACTTCAAAAACTTTCACTTAGGTTTTATTGACAATAGTATTGAAATAGTCATATGAATCTGAGCTTAATTGTTTCTGAAGTCCAGTAACTTTGTGTAAAACTCCGGTTCTCTCTGGCACCTTCAGAGGGCCAGTTCACCGACAACAACAACAACAATTTGCACTTATATAGCACCTTTCACATCGGAGAACACCTCAAAGTGCTTCACAGCATGGGAGCCTGAGCAGGAAGCGAGATAGGTGGGCAGAGGTAGGCGGAAACTAAGTTAATTTACCTGGAGGAATGAGATGATATCTTTCTGTTTTGTTCCAATGTTTGCTGACTTTTGTTTGCTCTGTGTCATGCGTACAAACCTGGGAGCTTTCAGTCCTGCATGGTTCAGCATATCAGGCAGGGCATTTAGACATTAACACTTTAAAACCCTAGGCATTTTGTAACTGGAATGTGGCGTATTACAGCTGTTCCCCTGCAAAGACTGATCCAGTTCTCAAGTGAAGGGTCAATGGCCACCCTCCTACCCCTACCCTCCCTGCCCTCCACCCCTCCTGATCCCAGCCCCCTGCTTGAGTTCAAATCCCTGATTTTCCGGCACCTTGAGATGTCCCCCCCGATGTGAAAGGCGCTATGCAAAGGTAATTTGTTGTTGGAATCAGTGGGTAACCTTGGCAAGGATTGTTCAACATGTCCAAGGGTTGAAAATTGGCTGTTTTTTTTCAAGGAAAGGAGTCTTTAAGAGTTCCCAGTGCCATAGTTACTGGTTGAACAAGGCCCATTTCTTTTACTCCAAAACAAGTACCACTTATCTACGAAAACAAAATGTTTGAGCTCACTTTCCCTTCTTTATTATGTTAATGCTTGAAACGTTGACTTCTCTAAAGCTTGCTCAAAGCCTAATCCACACTCGAAGTGTATGCAAACATGTATTGAGTAACAAGATAATAAATCACCTTATTCTTCATAATAATTTGCTTTAGAATTAGAGTGTAAGTATCCGTACTGGAAAAGAGATTTTTCAGTTTATAGTGCTGGTGAAATTGTTGCTAAGCTGTGCTAAGAATTTTTAGTGGCTTCAGATAAGGAATGTGTTGCTGACTTCTGCTGCAGACAACTGTGGTGATGCAAAACTTGCAGGAATTATGATTAGGAAGATTAGTGAATTACGATAATAATTAAGAAAATCAATAGTCTCACTTTGATCTTTCTTTGATGTAATTACAGATCACAGGCTTGGAAATTTGAGCAGTTTTAAATATCCAGATTTAATCGAGTTAGATTACCAAAAAATGAAAGGTTAAATCTTTCCTCGTAGAGTAAATCATGCAAACCACTATCCTGTTTAATAACAATAATAATAATAATCCTTGCTTTTGATATAGCGCCTTATCATGTCTTCGAGACGTCTCAAAGCGCTTCACAACAATAACAAAACTACATTTGTATAGTGCCTTTCACGTCAGGAGGATGTCCGAACAGAATATACTGTAAATTGTATTGACTGTAGGATGGTTACAAAGATCTGTAAATAACATTAACATTGTTTATCTTTTATCTCTGTACATCTCTCTGATTGTTTCTAAAAGAATAGTTGAAATGGTGAGAGCTGACTACATTATTAGGGGACTCGAATGGCAGGGTTTGCTGAGCCCGATAGTGTGAGGGAGCCATTTTAATCCTCTAGTTGGAGTCATTAATTGAAACAATATTGTCTTGTCAGTTTACTCGCTCGGATACTAATTCAGTTCCAACACACCTGTCGTGTCACCAGTAATCCAACAATGTTAATTGTAACAAATCCTCAAAAGCAAAGAGTTTAATTATAATTATTTAATGATTTTCAGTATCAAATGCACGTTTGAGACTAAAATCGCCACGGCAGTACCAATCTCGAAAAAGACGCGTTGCTCTTTCTTAATGGGTCGGAAGGCTTTCTTCATCTGTACCTCTCTTGCGATTGCGCACACCCAGGGCAGCGTCTCGGAGAACTTGACAGTGGCGTAGTGTGAGTTCACACGGCCTCGATACAGAGAATGTCAGCGAACAGTTTCCTTCAGCGCAGGACTCTGTTGGAAAATGACACGCCTAATCCAATTGAGGCAGGCAAGCTTGTGATCCTGATTGGGAGTCAAGATATCAAGCTTTTGAGTTACTGAGCGGCTTGTGAATCGAGAGTTCTTAAGCTGCTTTTAGGTTATACATAGAATGGTAATAATAGCTGTTGGCAGTGCATTAGGTGTCATGTATACAGCACATAATGCTTTTGTTCCCTCCCAGTTGCTGTGCATTGGTTGAAAGTTTGACAGTTTTTTTAAAAAAAAGAAGAAAGTTGGTGCAATTCCGTCTCACACACCGATTGACTGAAAAGCGAAGGCGGTGCCTGAAACAAAAGAACATTACAATGTTGGGTGGGGGGTGGGGGAACGTTTGTGGCACATGATGTGATAATCACCATTTGTTATCATCACTTCATAAACTGCAAATTTGCCCCCCGCCACCCCCCTCCCCCCACCCCCTATATGTTTATAAGTTTAATGGTGACTCTTATTTGGAATACAACGCTTTGTATTTCTTTCTTTATCCGGGTTGAAACAAAATGCTCTCATTGTCTCTCCACACCATCCTCTTCTGTTGGAATTTTCAGTATTTGTTTATTGGGTGTTGTTTTTTTTCTTCTTCTTCTTCTTCTTCAATATGAGCCAAAGCGTTGTCACAACATGCTCCTGTCAGCACCGACTGTTTAAGTACTGTTCCAGGGGAGAAGAAGCTGGGAGAGCAAAACAAAATTGCATGTGTTAGTTACCATGACACCCATGAGAAGATTTACTTCACGGCTGATATCTTGGCTTTAAACAGTTCTGCATTTTACATGTAGGTTCAGGTTTAACGAGAATAGGAACTTCCGATTCTCTGTACTGTGCAAATCCAGTGCGAACTCACTGATTTACAGTCAAGCCATCGGTCAACGGCACTGTAGTCTGCTGATGGCTTGTATCAAATGATTACGTGGAATCTACAGTACCAAAACAAACCATTTGTTCCAACGACTCTTGGTGTATTGGTGTGTATTCTCCACATGAGCCTCCACCCATCCAAGCCTCCCTCTGTTCCCTTCTTTCTTACGTCTGCGTGATACAGCCGCGAGGAAACTATTGGTTGTGTACCGAGCGCTGTGTGATGTCCGACTATATGAAATAATATTAAACCAGAAGGTGAGAAACCTCTCAAACGGGTAAATGTCATTTGCTGATGGATACTTATTAACAGTCGAAATGACTGTTGCGTTCGCTCATAACATACACAGTCACTACACTTAACAGTATATCCTGTGAAGTGCTTTGAGACATCTCGATGGCGTGAATATGGTGCTGTGTCATTCCTTGAAATTGTACTACAGCATCACATTCCTGTTCTATTCTAGCTCGCTGTCATGGTAACACAAGTCTATTCTCCTCTAGGTCCTGAATATCAGAAGCGGCGACTGTTACAGGAACTGTTGGAAAGTGAAGCGAGCGTGGAGCAAGCAGACCAGGAACCCCCGTCAATAGAGGAGCCTCCTCCCACCCCGCCAGAGAGTCCTGGCCTGCACGAGAAAGCCCCAACCTCGATCGAGTCGTCCCCCGCAGGGACCCCGTCACCAACTCCGATTGAGACGCCGCCGGAGGTGAGAAAGGTTAAAGAATCGAACATCAAGAAGGAGGTCTCCAGCTCCAGCCACCTAAGCCCCGGCAACTGGAACGGGGAGCAGAGTAAAGCCGGGAGCCGTGCAGGCAGTCGACCTAACAGCCGGCCCACCACCCCTTCTGGCGTACTGACGGTGCAGTTCGAGAATAGATCAGCCACGAACAGCAGAACTCCATCCAGGAGCTCGAGTCACCAGAGCAACAGAAGGACACCCACAAAACTGGAGGAGCAGCTTGCGAACAACCATGATTTGGACATAAAGCCCCTGGAGAGGATCGAAGGCAAATCGAGAACAAATCAAACTAGCAGATCACGAGAGCCTGTTCCAGAGCCCATTCTGCTCCACCATCCCCACCAGCTGCAGCACGGTGCTGAACTCCACTCAAACTACCACAGTTACCCTGTGCGGATGCAGTCAGGGCCACAGCCACTAGATTTAATGGATGACGAAACCCCTGCTCCACCAGTGCCAGCAAAACCTGAAACGCCAGTGAAACCGTCAACCCCGGAGCCCAAACCGGAGGTCAGTAAGGTAAAGGAACCAAAGTCAGAGCCCGAGGTGCAAGAGTTTGCACCGGGCCCCAAACAGGAAAAGCAGCCACAACCCAAGGCCGAGTTGAAGCCTGCGCCTAAAGCAGTCACTAAACCACTATCGAAAGCAGTGCACAAACCGACATCAACTGGGAAAGAATTAGAAGAAGCATCGAAGTTTGATCAGGTGAGAGATTTACAAACGGACGCGTTATACAATCTGTTGCTTCTGTGTCAAGATCAGGCAAATTCATTATCTATATAAATATCCATCTAAGTGTACATTAGGATGGACTCCCCTCAACAAACCAGCGGGGCCTCAGTTGAGATGGGTCCATGCCTGATCTTGTCAATTCTTTTAACTCCTTTTTTAGAACCACATAGCGATGAACTGGATCCAAGTTAGATCCTGAAAAAATTGCTTAAAGGATGGCCAGGGCAGAAATGACTGGGACAGATATGCAAAGCAGACTGTGACTGCTTAATGTCTCGAAGCGAAAGTGCCAAGCTCCCACATACAATCTCGTTCTCCATATCCCCATGCCTGCTGAATGCTGTCTTTTATGGCAATGCATGCACTTCAAAGTAGCTTCGGGATTGGGGGGAATTGCAATGACTAATTCTATTATGCTGGTTGGGACCTAAAATGTTTTTTTTCTTGCTCTGTAGCTACTCATAAAATCAAGTTCTTTGATTTAGTAGGAACAACTTGGCAATATAAGCAAGCATAACTCTTCTTCTTTTCATAACTACTTTGACAAAGATTATGCAGTACTATTCCAAGTAAAATGCTCCATTTCCTATAATGGTAAGTATGAGGCATTCAGTTAAACAAAGCCTTTAGCAACCTACTGGCAAAATCTCAAACCGTCAATTTCAGTTGTGTAATATTTAAAGCAGCAATTAGGAATGGTAATGAAAGAGGGAACAAAAATTATTAAAGACACCTTGCGTTTTTGTAGAACCCTTCGCATTGGAAAACATCTTACTGCACTTTACAAAGACAGGATCAAACAAAGAGCAAGGGAAAAGAGGGAGGGCGAGGGGAGATGACAATATCAGAGATTAGGTTTCAGGTGGGATTTACAGAGAGAGAGAGGGTGGTGAGACAGAGGCGTGGAGGGAAGGAGTTCCAGAGGTTGGGGCATAGTAGCTGAAAGCTCGGCTGTTGTTGATGGTGTGGAGGGGGTTACACAGCAAATCAAAGTTTCCCCAAGTGAAAGGGATGGACAGAGAAATTGGGGTAGGAGAAGATCACAGAGAGGTACTAAGGCACGAAATGATGTAGGAGCTTAAAGTCGATCCAATGGGCAGGTTTTGAAATACTAGTTATACCAAAAAAAACTCATTATTTTCATTGCATACAGTTGGTTAGAGATTACAATGAAGAATTAAGAAAGGTTCAAGTTAAACATTGACCTTGCTATACATAGGACTGATCTCAGTAAAACTTTTGTTTTGTAGAAAGTTTGAGCATGTAGTAGCTGAGGCCACAAATCAACTGCGTGAGTCTCTGCTTTTGGCCCTTTATTCAGCAGTAAAATCTTACCAGTTCTTCCTCAGTCAGCAACACAGAGGTTGTTGAGATAAACTGTTGTCGGGTTATGAAAGGTTAACTAAACAGAACAAAGTCCGACAATATTTGTAGCTAGTTTCTTGCTGTTGTGAACGTTCGCTTATTTTGTCTTTTGAAAGAGCTCCTAAACTTCCTCAATCAGACCTCTCCTTTGGGGGCATTTTGGGTAGCATTGCTCAGTGTCCTAAGTAATTTGCGATAATTTCACGACATTTTATTGACGGAATTTTCATGGTACATCTGAAAGAGAGAGAGAAAAGAAAGAGCAGAAAGAGGCCAATCTGACCCTCTTCAGTCCTGTCATGTGTTAAAGCAGAGTGTTACCGAAGTGTTTAGTATATAAGATACACAATGAATACACAATCAGGATGCTTTGCTTTAGGCTTCATTGCTGACTGTCTTTATTGTTGAGTTCCTTTCAAGCCACCCACGGGTGGACAGGCAATCTGACCCAGCCCTCTGCCAGTCCCGCTGCTTATCTGTCTGTTGCTCTATATGTGTGAGCAGCTGGGGTTGACTTTCTTTGCCAATTGCTTCCCCTTTCCTGAGCCAAAGTGCCTCGACTTCACTCTGACATTCACCGATGGCCGGACCGCTCACAGGAACTCACTCGCAAAGGAAAATGTGAGCAAGGCCTGCTTAGCAGCCCTCGGCACAGCTAGCAGTTACACCAACTGCACAGTGCTATCATACTGAGCGATTCATGAAAATAATGCATTTGTTTGTTTCTTTGTATGTTTCTTTGATTGTGCTCGTTTTCATTTACGTGAGAAATTTTCATCTAACCAAAAGTGAGCAATGATAGCAATTCAAAAAGCATTGGTGAAGAGTTAATTATCTCCTCTGTGTCCTCGAAATAATAATAATATGATAATAATATAAGAAGAATGCTTGCATTTGATGTAACGCCTTATCACATCTTCGAGACGTTCCCAAAGCGCTTCACAGAATATATTGTGAAGGGAATTGACCGTATATTTTGTGAGCGAAACACGGCAGCCAATTGCGCACAACAGTGTCCCACAGACAGTCGTGGATTGAAGTGACCAAATTTTTTTTTTAATCATACTAAAATAGATCGGGTTCCAATCCATAGGTCTATTCATAAATAGCTCCATCTTAACCATTGCCAAACATCATTCAAAAAATATCCCTTCAGCACAAACTGTGGTTGTTCCATACCAGGACAAAAAAAAACATCATTAAAACGTGGTCTTGAGAATTACTGGAATACTTGCATAAACCATTACATTTTTATAATATGTAACAATATTTTTTGTTGATTTGGGAAAACAACAATTTTGGGGAAAATAATGTTGTCGTCTAATTGCTGTAAAAATGTTCGTCTGTTAAAGTCCTGACAGCCGATGTATCTCTTTTTAGGGACCCAATACCATTATGATTGCCATGGTTATGTTACTGAACATTGGTCTAGCAATCCTGTTCGTACACTTTCTCACATGAAACATGTGGCCAAGGTAAGAGGTAGAATTTGTTCTGTTGGTCTCTGATTTTTTAAAAAATAATATTAATTTAATTACAGCGATAAATCGAAATCTAACCCTTCATTGCTATCAATGCTTCTTTTGAATTTCATGTGTAAGACCGAGAAGACGAGTGATGCAGCACAAACTCTTTACGGTCACGGGAGAAGCCCCCACGACAATTTTCCTGCTGGGAATCTAGGAAGAGGGCTTCGGGGAAAGTTGTCGTTCATCCTGCAAGATGTCACCTGCAGAACGGTGCAAAGACTGAATCCAGTGCTGCAGGCTAGATCTCCCTGATCTGTTTTCCATCACCAGTTTGTGCCCTACATCTTCCATCAATGAGACACATTGGAAGTTGTAGAACTGACATGATTGTGTTTATCTAAACTAACAGCTGCCTTACATTTTGCTAGCCAGTGTTTATCCTGCACAGGATTGTGCTTGTTTCTCGAATTATTCTATTTGTACAAATAGACAGGCGTTGGAGATGGGTGTGTGGTGGTGAGGGGGAATGGGGTTGGAGATGGGATGGGGGTGTGGCGAAGGGATTAACAAGAGACGAATAGAGAGCGAAAAAAATATGATTCTTATGGTTTTATTTCGTAAAGAGAAAAAAGAATAAGACTTGCGAATCGGCTCATAGTGATCTATGGCACATATTTTTATAGTCTGAGAATTTCTTTTGATGGGTCAAACTGAGTAAAAGAAAAGAAAATCCAATACGGATAATATTAATGTACATACATTACGCCGTGGCCTAACAAAGTTTGGAGATTCTGTCCTAAAACTCAACCATGGCTCAACTTTTAGTGCATTCATAGATGGTTTTATATGTTGGCTCGGAAAATATTGGTCTGCATTGGATTTTTAACACATTTTACTCTCAGTGTATATTACTAACCTGAAGGGTGGTATGATTCATGCTTGTTGCATGTTTGCTTTAAGATAAGCTGTTTTTAACCCTATTCTACCATCTTATGGTACTTTAAGAGCACTCAACCCATATTTAGCAACTTTGTCATAAACTGAGATGAAAAGGAAATGCACAATTTTTTGAAACAATTTTCGGAAACAGTTTTAAAACTAGTTGAGGAACATTTAAAATTCCCCGAAGGCCGGCCCTTTCTTGCGGCAACTTTTTTCTATGTTTTGAAAGCCAGAACAGTGACAGATATTTCTATACCCACACTTTGTAGCTATATATTTTTGAAAAGGACATTGGCCGCATTTTGAGGAGCTGTATGCCATTCGAGCTGCTGATCACATATAAACAATGGAATTTCAGCCCCTCATGTCCAGCATAAAAAAAAACAGTATTTCTGCCAACATAGTTGAAGAGTTAATCAGCTTAAAACAACGGTATCATGCAATAGAGTTTAACAATATAAATTGCTTGCAACAAGTAGTGTTTTCCTTTTCTTGTGTGCCAATGTAAGAGGTAATGATGATCTGTTTTTCCTTCTTTTTCTGCATGTATGCACTTTGTAGAGTGTTTTCATAGTTTTTTTTAAAAAAGCTTGTTTTATCTATAACCAGGTATGGATGCTGTTGTACGGGATTAAAAAAAATATTCAGGGCTGTTTTTTTTTGGCTTTGTAAGATTTATACAAAAAAGAGATAAAATTACCTCACAAGTGCATGCTTTTCCAAAATATGAATTGAAAATGTTTATTTAGTCTTTTTATGTCTTATGACAATGTGAATCATTTAGCCAGTGATGAACAATTCCTGTGCAGGTAATTATTCATTTCTATAAGTGTTATTGAATGCTGTCTGATCAAAGCATTAACATTTTTTCAGGAATGCGACTAAGAGAAGCAGAATGTATTTGTAACCAACAATGTACCACGTTTCTTTTAAAAAAAACCACAAATATCATAAATGTAATACTCCGAGGCATTATATATAATATAATATATATTATTTTGGGGTGGACGCAGTTTCTTTCACTGTCTAGCGATGGATTAATGAAGTGAAATTAAATTAATGGATAATAACGGCTATCAGGTAAGTGATTGGCAAACAATAGTCCCATTAAGCAATTTTAGATGCCTTTCTAAATCACATGTGAAAAGCTTAGATGCTGTTTTACAGGATATCTGATATAGAATGCTTCTGAGATTGTAGGTATTAAACTCCACTGATGATTTAGTTGGTAAGTGCACCATCTAGTGTGTAACTGAGCAATACAGACCAGAAAGCTTCCGTGTTCTATACTGTGCTGATCTCAAGCTGGTATTCGGGATGCTATAGTTGGTATTCCATGTCCTTGAGCTGGGGAGGGTTCCTGCTTCTAATCATGATCGAATGACCTTGACTTTGGCTGAGAATGTCAAGTGAGAGAAAGGTTGGACTCAACTAGGATGCCTTTCCCTCTCCACACTCCCTGCCAACACTCTGTCTGGACTCACTTCTGAAGAAAAGCTACTCGGGTAAATCGACTCGGGCAAGAGAACAACAACAACAAACAACAAATTACATTTGTACAGCGCCTTTCACGTCGGGAGGATGTCCTAAGGCGCTGGAGAAGTGTCAGCTTTTTGAGGACAGGAGTGGGAGAGAATTAAAACAAAGTGGATGGAATGGAGGTGTTATTATTTAGAATATTTTCCAAGGAATGATTTTATTCAAAATATTTTTTTTCTTAGAGCTGCTGGGATAAAGTAGATAATGCAGATGCTACCAGGGTTCAAATCTGAATCAATTTGGACAAAGTGGAATTGCATTTTTATGATTTTAGACCTGAGGCTGCATTAGGGAACACAACAGAATCTGTAGCATCTTCCAGTTGTAGCTTATTAGTAAATACACTACCTGGGATATATTCTAAACTACACATATAATAGATTGCAGAATCTATAATACCCGTAATCGTGTAATGAGTTGCAGTTTTACATGGAGGTTGGCAACAGCTGGACTATGTTTTCATAGAGGCTGGTAGCAGCCGGATGCTGGAATAGTTTAAGGAAGAAGCTTGATGTTGTAATGGGAAGGTGATCGTTGGGTATTCTGGAAAGATGAGATTAAATGGGTTGAAGGATCTTGTTCATTCATACCTCTCTTGCGATGTATGAAAAGTTTATTCATCTTAAAATCGTAACTTTTAAATGGGTTGGACATCACACCGGGGATTAAGGATGTTTCATTTTAAAAGATTTACATACTAGTATTTCAGCCACCTGTGGATCATTCCTACTTGTGAAAAGAAATCTCAGATATAATGACATGAGTGTAGCAATAAACTGCAAGTTTATTTGAGAAGTTATGTTTCAAGCGATAAGTTGATATTGTCCACAATGCACAAAAAATGAACTTCTAAATTTAAAGTAACATGGAAAAAATACAACAGATGCACTGGATTAGACGGGTAACGTATAAGTTAGCCTTAATAAGCATATCAGTGTTCAGTTATATCCATTCTTAAAAGGAAAAGAAAAATACATTATAGAAAATTTAGAAAAAAATCTTTTGTCACCATTGAGAAAAGGTTTTTTTTGTGAAAAAAAAACTGGGGAAATTAAGACGGATATACAGAAGTTTCCAAAAACTCTTTAGTCAAATTTTCAAAAATTCTGAGCAATCATAAATGTCAAGACTAGGGGTATGAGTGTTCTGTGATTGTATTAAGATGTACAGTAAATGCAGAACTACAGAATAGGGTGTTACTTGTTCCACAGCTTTGACGTGAAAGAAAAGTATTAGTGTGGAAGGAGGACATGGAAAACAAGTTTCCATCTCCACTTTCTTTGCTTGGCAAAAAGCAATTTCACTCCCAACATTGAACACAGCAGGAATGATTTTTTTTATTTGCAATAGGAAAATTCTTCATTTTTTTGTTTTTTCATCAATTTCGTGGTCTTCTTAAAATTCCCTCTCCGACCCCAAAGATTATACCAAAACATGACTGCATTTCTTTAGTCAGTTAACTTCACCTCTTACTCTAACAAAGCACAAGGGGTACTTTTTTAAAATCATTTTTGTGTATCACGATACTGTATTTACTGGTTTTCTTTGCTGAACGCTGAAGCAACAGTTCTTTTGAATGATGAATTGAACACCGTGCCTCGTTGCTTTTGATCTTGTGAGAGAAAGTGACACTTTCGAAGTTTGGTTTAATGTATTTATATTAAAACGTAAAAGATAGCTGCAAGGCTCTGGAGTAACTCAATAGTTGCCATCCTTCATTCCTGCTCCTGTAAGAGAACTTGCGACATTTTGCTTACATTGTCGATATTGTAAAAGTTTTGCTTTAATCTTAAACATGAAATTTGCCTGCAGTGTCTTTAATTTCTCTAGCAAACCTGGTGTGATATAAATTATAATATAATTTGTGTCAGCATCTTGATAAACCTGACCTTTTGTGACTACATTGTCTCCGAAGCAAAAATGATATAGAAGTGAGACTCATCTATTTCCCTTTTCTGATTGTTTTGAGTTGTGAGACAGTAATGGATTGCAAAATGTTTCAGAAACATTTTGATGTCAGTTCATTCACCTGTTAATGAGATGAATTTGGTTAATTTTCTAATTTGTATTCTTTAAGACAACAAAATTATTTAATGATTCACCTTAAATAAAATCCAGCTGATCCTTTTTGTTTCCTGCATTCGAAATCTGGTATATAGGTCATAAGCAGTGTACAATTTTTGACTGCAATTTCGCTCCAGTCTACAGTCAAATCCTGTATTCACATCTGATATGCACTAGGCATGACATACATCAGGTTTTACAGTAAATAGCTTATATAATCTGGAATATAGGTATCATCAGTATAACATTTTATCAAGAGCAAAATATCAAATGCAAGGATTATTATTTATTATAGTCACATCTAGGTCTGTCATACATTAGATTTTACAGGAGGTGACAGTGTACGACTGAAACATGCTCCACTATTATCATGACTTAAGCATGTGAGCCTGGTGGAAAGACTGGGAGCTCATGTTGAAGGTAGAACGCTCAAGTGATTGATTATGTAATGCCAGTGCAGAACATTTATTACGCAGAGCAACCAATGAAGTGGGGGGGGGGGGGAAAACTGAAAGCTGAATCCACCCAATGTTATCGGTTTCATTAGTACGGCGTGATGATAGGTAATTCATTCTCTAGGGTCTCAAGTTACAGGAATTAAGAATATGGGAACCAGGAAAAAGATATTCAGTTTGTCCATCTCCATATCGAATGAGATGGAATAGTATCAGGCTATAACATAGATACACACTTACCGAAAGCTTTTTTTAAAAAAAATAAATTGGACACTTTATATATTTAATTTATGATGTGTTCTTTACCATTATGGGTTTCTTTAATAAAATACAGCACAACTTAATATTAGTGATTGCCCCCCATTCCCCCAAAAATTAAGGAACTGTTTGAATGTTCAGTGTCAGTAATAGTTATTGGAGATGAACTGATAGAAGCATTTGTTAAGCAACACTGTCACAGGTTACCTGGATGAAAGTAAATGTCACCTGTGTCACTCAACACTGAATGTTTCTGCATGTGGGATCTAATGTTAAAATGCTTTTCCTTTAATATGTAATTGAATGTGTAAACTATTAAAAAAGGGGCTTTTCTACAAGACAAATTATGTGCTTGGCATTCAACAACTTGGAAGGAAGAGAGACCTTCTGACTGATGGAAAATAGGAGGCAAATTTTTAAGCTTTTATTCTGCATCCCTAAAAAGTCAAACCAATTTTTCTGCAGTATTCAAAAGAAGTCTTGCTAACTTTTTTTTGGTGGGGGGAACAAACAACACAGAGCTGAGACCGAATATGGAGCCTGAGCAACAATTTGGGATTGAAGTGGTTAACTTCAACTCTCTCTGGTCTTAAAAAACACAGCAGGCAATCATTGTTGAGACTCAGCTGTGAATAATAGGCATTTAGGTGTGGTTACAGAGGACAGTGCAACACCTTGGGAAACCAACCCCAAAGGAGATGAAAACAAGGACTATTCAGGGGAGAGGAGGTAAGGTACAAGAGAATCGATGTGAGGAAAATAAAGTTTTGACATCTTATTTCATGTGAATCCATTGCAGTGACTTTTCGAACCCTCTGAATAGATGGTAGTATTTGCAGAATTTAAACCTCATTACCTTAAGAAAAGGATGGCTATGTAAATATCTACATGGAGGATGATGTAGTTACAAGAGTCTGTCTAAGGGTAGTGGTAAATTGTTTTATTTTAAATAGTTTCTGAAAGTTTTTTTTAAAACAAAAGGTCAGAATTAATACTGCAATTGACAATTAACTTTTTAGTACTTTTACTTTGATATATTTCAATTATGCAAAACACTATTGTACATTCTAGTAGATAGCAAAAAGCAAAACAGTTTTTACTAAATTATTAGTAGTAACTTATAAGTCATGTTTAAGTTTAATGTATGTTTACATCAGTTAACGACTTTTTTAATCTTGGGTATTAGCAGCTGAAATTGGAGCCTTGGATCAATGAGTTTGATTTTGTTTCAATAACAAGTTTATGTAATTTTTTAAAAAAGACTCATTGAAACATAAATAGGATTGATGAATGGAGTTTTCAACATGTACAAGTCAGCTGTGACAAGGTCAAAGAAACAACATTGGCATACAAGCAAACCTGTAATCCTACCTGGGTAACTCTGACTGTGGCTAATGTCTTTTTGGCACCTCCGGCCAGTACTGGGGATTGACCCTTTGGCAATGATACTCTGCGGCATTTCTTGCCTTGGGCTCTTTACATTTCCTTGGATTATCGGATGCGCCAGATGGAAAAAGAGGAACTGCCTGCAGAGATTGGGCGTGTGATGCAGGACGTTAT